GAGAGAGGTGACAGGAGCAGAAAGATGTCCATCGTGAGAGGAGGGATCCTGCGGAAGCGGAGCTCATGGCAGGACACCGTCGGCGATCAGGAGGCTCCGACTCTGTAGGACGCGAAACGAAGGAGGCGCACAACCTCCAGGAGGAGAGGATCCTCATCTCCCTCCTCCGCCGACATCCGTTAATCCCCGCCCGAGTGTTATCCCGGTGCCTCTTCCGCCTCGAAAACACAACGGGAATCGCGAACAAAACTCGGTGCTGAGCAGAAAAGAACGGAGGAGAGCGAGAGACAAACGAGAAGAAGAAGAAGAATCACGAAAGACTCCCGGTAATAATTTTTGCAAAACTATATTCCACGTCTTCGTTTATTGCGCGGTGGCGAGTCAAAACTACCGTAGTGATCTCGTCGCGAGTGACTAAGCGCGCACAGGTGAGACGAGGAGAATGCGTCCACGATAGAATTATTCGAATTGAATTCCAAGTGTCGTGATATTACGATATTACGCTTCATGTCGCCGCACGAATGTTCACAAAAGTATCGTGAGTGATAGTGGTAGAGGCAAAGGTGAGCCAGAAGATCAAGCGAAAGCATCGAGAGCTGAGAGAGAATCGTGGACGAGCGACGGGCCAGAGAGCACACGGAGAGGAGCCTGAAGAGGAAGCAAGACGGGGGTAGGAGGGTGGGCTGGGCGGGAAACGCCTCAGGACACCCGTTGACGTTCCCTTCGTTGTCGTTCTCGTCCTCGCCGTCGTCTCAGCGGCGAGGTGGGTGTCGTGATTCCTCCTCCTTAGAACGCGGACAACCGCGGCGACTCCGAGGGATGACAACCATGGGGTCCTTCCATGCCGTCTCCGGGGGCTTCGTTCTCCTCGTGGCCACGGTCGTCCTACTGCCCGCCACGCATCACACACCGTTTGCATACGCCGCGTAAGTCAGCCGTATTCATATTAGCATTTCTCTATGCTTAGACTTTTAGACGATTGCATGCACTGGTGCACATTAAAACCGTTGTACATTGATCTAATCTAATAATAATTGTAAAAGAGTAAAATATAAACATTTTAAATTACAAAGTATATATATTTTGCCAAACAGTGTAATAAAGTGTAGGTATTAAGAATTTCGCGATTTAATCCGTTTCTATATTTATATTATATACATCTTTACATTAATTTGTGTGTCGACGACTTTAACGTGCACCTTGAGTACGCATTGAGTGTGTCCAATCAAATTAGACAAAATATAGATAACAGACGAGCGTAATATGAGAGTAATATGAGATTGGCATGTGATTTTCAGAAGTAAATGCTGAGAGACGTAATAGGGTAATTTTTATAGGCATCGTTGGTATTTTACTAATAGCTTGAATCTGATCGTCTTCAATGTATTACACGAAGTACGAGTGGAGTATCAGAAAATAGGATTTTACGCGAAACGTTGAAACAGCGAATTGTTGATGTTTTCTTTACATTTGCAAAGCAAAGCTTATGGCTGTAGCTATTTAACTGTCTTTCCATGTTTAGAAATATTCGAAGAGCATGTGGGAATAAAATAATTAAAGCGAACGTACTTAAACTTTGATAAAATATGTAGGAAAAAGTATAATAAATGGAAATTAAACTAAAATAAGAACAAATTAAATAAGAGAAACAATCCTATTTTCGGTTGAAAGTACTTAATATGTACTTGTAAATTTATATATGAATATTATTAAGCATCAAGATCCGCTTCGACCGAAAACAGAATTTTTTAAAATCTTATTTGAGAAAAAAGAAGCCTATCATTAGCTTGGAAAAACATTTCAATATGTCAGGAATGTTAATATGAATTTTATATCTAAATACTTTTGATGGATCAACAGAGATAATGTTTATGAAGTTTTATTATAAAAAGTTGATCGATTTTATCAATTGTAAAAATAATTAATTTGTAGTATTCTAGATTTTATTCATATGGTTTTGTTAGATATCACATTGGAATACAGCTTTCTCGCGAGAGATTTTAAACATTTTTCATACACATATTATTCCAACCAAAAATATCAGTAATATATCAGTATGAGAGGAGACCTAATGGGTCCCCTGTCGTACCGATATATTACTGATAATATTTCATACATTCTCTTGTATTTATATTTTATAATATAAAAACAATGATATATGTTTTTCACAGTAATTACTCGAAGAAAGATTCTTGCCAGATATATCATAGCCCTTCCATATTAATGTTGTGAAAAAATATTACGCTGGGCAAATCGTGACGAATGACATCTTCCTTGCGATAAGCGTCATTCATTATGCTACTTCGACGGAAATAACCAAGTTTTATTACGCGATCGTGTCTGACGTCAACCCGCCCGCTGCCTACTATCAAGAGCAAACAAGATAGGTTTAGCCTTTGACATAACGGGCGCCACAATGAGAGTGGCGCGTAGCTCTCTCCGCCGTCTGGATGCACCTCCGTGATTGCATGTAAATGAGCGGATACATGCAGTCATGTTGCATTCCCTAGTGTATGTCTTACCACCACGCGCGTAAGCTCTTTCCATGATCACAATGACACCATCCCTTGTGCCTCCAAGGCGACGATAAGGTAGCTTTCGCTCTTTCTCCCCCTCTCTCTCTCTCTCTCTCTCTCTCTTTCTCTCCCTCCCTCCCTCCCCCTCTCACACAAATTCTCTCGTCGCGTTTTAATAAGCATAATACAATATATTTTGCATCGTGCATGCATTGATCGTTTTAAACTATCTCTATACTTTCCTAGTCAATAGTAATCGACAATGCCAACACAGTGAGCGCAAATTCTTAACTATTATGGTTAAATGTAATGCAGAACTATTATAGCGATATCAGTTTCCAATAAATAAAGGATTATAATTTATACTAAATTAAAAATCAATATTAAGATTTGTAAAATAATTATACACAAAAATTTATAATAAATCTTTGAAATAAAATATACAAATTAAAAAAATCCTTTGATGTATTCTATTGCAGTGCAAAAATCACATTTTAATTGAATTAAAAGATTAAATTTATTAATAAAATTGTACATTATAACATTCATTATAACCAAACATATTATCAACTCAATAAATTTTTCCAGTGTTTTAACTTTTATCATAATTAATGGAAACATTTAAATACATACACATACGAACCTTATTGTCAATTAGAAAATGTTACTTCGAGCAGAAACAAAACTGGCGAATAGAAAGAACAGAGGCAGACATGAGCAATAGTAACAAAGCGCAAACAATGTTGACATTGGAATTGGTCGATGCTACACCCGCTCCGTTGATCGCAATTCACTAGTACGTATTAATAATCCGCAAATATAACCGGCAAAGATATCTGCAGCACGAGCCAGCGCTATCGATCACTTTGCACGAAACATTCGACGCGCTGTACTTGCGACCAACGCGACGGCTGCGTTCACTCAGATTCTTTCCCTGGCCGCTGTGATACGTTCCCTCACTACTGAAATCTTAATACGGCCATTGTAGTAAGGTTTATCTTACTTATTTTATAAGCATCTCGTTAATAGTACGAATATCTTCTAAACATATAAACTTCTAAAAATATACTAGCAATATCTTCTTAAACAAGAAGTAATTGAAGTTAACTGATGTTTTATTTTTATAATCTTTATAACGTAGTTTTTAAGTAATAACGTTGAAGACATATTTCATTTTGACTTATTCCGGATGTTTAAAATTCTCCACAAAATTGAATGAAAATTTTTGTTCAATAAAGATATATCTACTGCTTTATAATAACGCATTCTTTTATTATAAATTGAATCGTTGTGATTATATCATGACTATAATTTTCTGAATGAAAACTATACTTAATGTAACGACAAGTTGTACGTATGGTTTTCTTTAGCAAGTTATAAGCGATACAAGAAACAGTCTTAGTTTCGAGGTTAGACAGTGAAGGTTTTCTACACACAATCTACTGCATTTATATTCCAATAATCACAAATATAGATTCATGAATAATCACAAACGGTAACGGAGACGTAAGTTTAAATTGTGAGAACGAGGATAAGAGGACTTAGTCAGTGACATTGACTAACTGCGACATTATTGATGTCCCCGTACGTTTTGGATGGTCTAAAAAGACACATATGTTTAATATACGAACATAGAATAACTGTAGTTTCTATTACTTTTTTGTTCCTATTAGTGTACCTTTGTATTTAAATAAACCATAAAAAAAATTAGCACAAATAAGTAAGAAAAAGTATTTTTTTTATTAAGTTAAATTATTAATGTACATAATATCAAACTCGACCAAAGATATTCTATTTTTTAATTATTAAAGTATACTAAAGATTTTTTTCGAAAGATCTGAAAAATTTAAATCCAGTAATACCGCAAAATTTTAAGTTTGCTCCTATTAGTACGTCCTGTATTGGAGCCGGGAGCGCGTTGTGTTACTAATATACATTGAAATTGTAAGTATAATTAAAATAACTTATGCAATATTAATTTGAACAACAACTTTATGACTATTATTTGTTCAGTAATTATATGTAAAATGAGTCAAATGCGAATAGGCACACAATTGAGAGCACATTAATAGGGCTATCGCTTCTTGAAAGACTACATATTAATAGGAACAAAACGTTTTTATTTTTATCGAAAACATAAAATATTAAAATTTTTTTAGATTAAAAAATATTATAAGAGAAATAGTTAAAAAATCGATATTTCAAGCAGACAAAATTAATACTACAATATTTAATAATTATTTCAGTAATGAGCAAGTTGCTGAAAGAGTACACTAATAGGAACGGTTATCCTAGTTAACTAGAATTTGATGTTTTTCAGATACTAAAGACAGTTTCAAGTATCAGACAATATTATCCGTAGTAGGGTAACCATCGAAACAGTTTTAATTTGCCGCGCTATTACGCGCGAAGAAGGTGGTAAACGAGTAGTTACATATAGTCAGAAGGATTATCAATATTTACGCTCTTATCCGACAAGCGGAGCCTCGGTCGTTCCACCTGTTTCCTTCTCGAGTGGGCCGAGCTTCTCTCTGGCCTCCTCCAAACCTCTATGAGTACCAACTGCGGAGGTACTGTAGCGTAGTATCGGTGATCGCGCAGTAGAGCTCTCGAGCAAGAGGGTGCTCCCAACGTGGCAGAGCTCCAAATCCTTCTACGCCGCCACCCTCGCCAGCCCACCAGAGACTAGAATTGTCGTCACCCTCGCCCACTCTTTGGATCGGTAGAGTACGCCAAACCCCCCCCCCCCTTCTCTCCACAACGAAGAAGAACACCCTTTTTGCTTCACTCGGTCACCCGGAGCTCGATCCGAAATCCCAATTACACCGCACCATCTTCATTTAAGTTTCCATCATCCCTGATAGCTTCATTACTTAAACCTAGCAACTACAGCTATTAAATGGCAATTATTTTGATGAAAATATAACAAAATGTTAAAACTTTTTTAAAGAAAATGAGAATAGTGCTCGATAAATATACCAGCGAAATTGGCCGGAATAGTAGTACAAGTCAACAACAAAGACAGCTTATCGTAGCCAAACGTTCATTCAAACTTATTTTGAAATAATATAAAATTTTTTATATCTCTTTCTTCTCTCTCTTATTTATATAAGTATAAAATCATGTACCTCAAGACATTTGCTTTTAATTTGTTAAACAAATTTCGTACATTGGAATTTACTTTTCCAAATTTATATAATACTACATTCCTTCAATACTGTTATTCTCCAAAACTAATGACATATTCATACACCTTTACACCATAGTTCCAACTTGGACTACGGAAAATGCTAAAGGTTGCGATTATATCATGAGTAATTAATAGTTATCGTTGAAAATATCCATTCAAGGATTTCACGAAGAGTAGGGGAGAGTGGTCTAAATCGGACCTATTTGCAGTTTCTGCTCTC